AGAAGCATCTTGCTTTTCCAGACGCGTTAGCACCCGTCACATGCAAACTCAGCTTTGCGGAAATCACGGGCAATTTGTTAAAGCGCCAATCCCAGATATCGAAGAGGCGCCAGTCTTTTTCAGCCTCGTTAGCACCCGTCACGCGCAAACTCAGCTTTGCGGAAATCACGGGCAATTTGTTAAAGCGCCAATCCCAGATATCGAAGAGGCGCCAGTCTTTTTCAGCCTCGTCAACACATGTCACATGCACACTCAGCTTGACGAAAATTACGGACAATTTGTCGAAGATTTCTGATAAAGAAGAAAGCACGTGAAGCCATACTGATCAATCACGCATTGGTTGCCGACACGAGTAAAAGAATAGTACCTCTACAGGTACTAAAGAATTTCCTATAACTGTCCACCTTCACCCTCCATAGCAAGGCAGACATACATAACCTTTCTTCATCTCCGAGAACCTTTCTTCATCTCTGAGAACCTTTCTTCATGCCTTCCCAACGAAGCCTCTCGAGTCACTCAGTGTTTCTTATTCCTTGGGGTACCTCTGCAAACAAATGACACCAAAGCAAAAGTATCTCATATCACCAGGGTAGAAAGCAAGAGTATCTCATATCATGTGTTCTCTCTGTCCTTTCCTTTGTCCTTGTTCTTACCTACAAAGACAAGGATAAAGAAAACAATATGCCGGAACCTCTACTCAAACTCGGATGCCACATTTGCCTGGAGAACAGATAAGGCAAGTGAAAATGATACCTTGCAGCATGTGGAGACAACGTGCAGAAGAAACAAGCAGAGAAGAATGCAGTCTTCACAGTCAGCTCAGCAGAAGGAGTCCGAGCTGAGGAACTCAAGAAGCTGCCACATCTGCCTGAAGAAACAAGCAGAGAAGAATGCAGCCTGCACAGTCAGCTCAGCAGAATGAGTCTGAGCTGAAGAACTCGAGAAGATGTTACATGCTACCAGAAGTATAGATAAGACAAGGGAAAATGATACATTGAAGCATGTGGAGACAAGCACAACAAAGCACGTGTCGATTCATCCGCTACTTCTTCAAAATCAAAAGTATCTCATATCATCAGGTTTGCAATCACTCTGGGTGGAAGACTCGTTTTGACCCTCAAATTCTTGGGTCGACTTGCTAGGCGTTGTGGGCTGCATGTGCCGTTTCACCACCCTTGAATCAAGTCCTTAAAGATCAAGTCACCAACTGGAAGAAGAGCCCATCAATCTTGAAGATCATACCGTTGACCAAACTGCTCAGGTGTGAATTAGAAAGATTGAACAAAGCAACAAGTCGTCACCTTCACCTCGTGCCTGCTTGCCATGTGTTCGAGTCAACCTTCAAGAATCAAGCATCAACGACCCTTGAAGAAGTTTCCGGCCAAATTCAAGATCAAGCCTCGACGGCCCTTGAAGAAATCTCCAGCCCAATTCAAGATCAAGCCTCGATGGCCCTTGGATCGACATCTACAGTAAGGGACTTCAAAACGCATCTCCTACACGTGACAATCAAATGTATACGACGCACCTTGAAGTGGGGGCATTTGTAGACATCGAAATTGCGGTGAAGTAAATGTTCACCAATGCATTAAAATTTTGACGTGTCAGAGCATACATGGCATATGCCACGTGTCATACAAATTATACACATGGTGTGTGACTCAACAAAATAAGAAGAAATACCCTTGGAGGATTACACAAGTTTTTCTTCTCATTTTGGGCAATGACAAGGCAAGCACATTTCAATCCATTGAAGATCAAAACAAGGTTTTCTTCTCATTTTGGGCAATGACAAAGCATGCACATATCAAGTTTAAAATGATATTAAGTGGAAAATTAGGCCATAAAATTACCACTTCAAGTTTAAAATTGTATTAAATGGGAAATTAGGCAATGGTGCTTGGAAAAGAAAAAAAATATTTTGTGATGGTGATTCATTCTCAAAGCCTATAAATAGGCTTCTACATCAAGGTATCATCAACCAATTCACAAATACATTTCTCTACTCCCAAATTGGAAGAGAATCCCCCAAATCTTTGAAGCTTTGAAACTCTAAAGCTCTCAAGGTTCCCGAAGAATCAAGAAAGCTCTCTTCGTTCTTCGTTATTCGTTCATCGTTCTTCCAAGATCAAGCCCCGACGGCCTTGAAGAAAGCACCACCGTTCATCATCCGTTCATCCAAGATCAAGCCCCGACAGCCCTTGGATCAACAAACATCAACAAATCCACACATCCAACCGTTCTTCAAGATCAAGCCCAAAAGCCTTTGAAGATCCGTTCATCACTGTTATTCAAGATCAAACCTTAACGGCCCTTGAAGAAACACTCATCCTCAAGATCAAGCCCCAACGGCTCCTTGAAGATCCGCTCAAATCCACCTTCAAAGATCAAGCCCACGGCCCCTTGAAGAAACTTCCAACAGTTCATCCAAGATCAAGCCTCGACGGCCCTTGGATCAATCAAACATTCACAAATCAACACCTTACGGAGATCGAATCAGATGATCAAAGTTAAAAGAGATTGTAACCCAAAATCATCAAACACAAAATATTTGTTTGTGCACGTTGTTCTTGTCTCTTTCGTTTCAGGAATTTTCCGTGTTCACAACGGCATAAACAATTTTTTTTTTAAAAGCACAGCAATTCCGAATTGGCCCTAAGTACCATACCCTTTTTAGTCATTTAACATATTCAAAACAATTTATATAAAAGTTTACCAAACACTCACACATTGTTTTTTATTATTATTATTAAAAGCATTTTTACAAAAAAAAATTACCAAACACTCAACTATTTTATTTTACCGCTGTTTTTTTTAAAGTACAACAATACCAAACTAGCCCTTAATGTTTGGAACTAAATTATAAGACATATTTATAGAGACCATAACCTAATAAATTAGAGTATTTTAGTATATGACTTACAAAAAAAAAAATGAAAAAGTAAATAACTTGCGAACAACATGTTTATGCTTAAGGTATCATATTTGATTATTATGTTGTCTGTCTTTAGTCAATATGTTGCCTGTTTATATCACGACACTATTTTTTAACAACTCATGACAATTTAATTTATGTTGTGCTATTTACACACTTGTTTTTTTATCTCTCACACATCTTCTCAATTTCCGATCGTTGCATTAGATAAATTAAAAAACAAAAGATATAAGTTAAAAGTAACGTGTGAGAGATAAAAATAGGTGTATCGATAAAACCACTTAGTAATGAAACCCCATTAATTACTTAATTTAAAAAGAATTAGTTACAGTATGGTCCAAACGCATATTAGATATTTAGTTGTCAATTTCGGAGAATTATTGTTCTAATTTCCGTCGTACATGGCATGCCGACTTAACGGCTTTTGTCGAGGGATGGAGACTTTGTAGACGGCTTACAATTGTCAACTTCAAAACTAATTTCTAATTGTTTTTTGGAAGGAAAACTAATAAATAAAAAATTTGAAAACTTTGAATTTTAACGAAAATGATAAAAAAAAAAAGTAAAGTAAATAGTATCATGATTGATTTTTTAGTATAAAAATATGATTTTTCGTTAAAGTGAACCGTACCGAATGTTTTTCGTTAAAGTTTACTTTTTTGTATTCATTTAAATATCTAATAAAAATTGGAAATGATAGAAAAGAAAACGAAATGTGAAAATTCAAAGAGAATCCAAGGAAAAAGTCCATAGAATCTATAACGAGTATAAAAATATGATTGAAATATTTTGAATTACTCTAATTTTCGAGAATGAGACTTGAACTTGCGCTCAAGACCACGACGAGGAGCACAACTGCCTAATCAACTTGGCTAAATTGAATATACATCGTGAGACATAGACCTAGAAACCTACGTAAACAAATACATACGAGGCAGGACTATGATACTAAAGAAGTGTTTCTTGAGCTTCATACATTAAGGTTTTTGCACACTGGTATTTCACTTCCACACACCCCTCCTTTTTCTAGTCATTGGATTGAATAAACCGAAGGAGATTCAAAGGCCGGAATTAAAAAGAGCGTGCAAGAGGTGAAAATTGGTGTGCAGAAATCCAAACATGATCAAAACAGAGAAGAAAACGCTTCCTATAATGTTTCGGGGGAAGAATACACAAATTTCAAAGTTACATACTATGTAAGATAACATCTCAACATTCAGGTTCGGTATTCATCTACAACAACAAAGCCTTATCCCACAAAGCCAGAATTTGGTAGTCATCTACAGAAAGAACACATTTTCTCACTAGTTTGATTCTCAAATTGTTTCAAGTAATATGGTTTCATATCGCAAAAGTCGAAGAAAAAGAAGGTAAAACTCAACAAATAGATAACAGCTGCTCATCCTGACATGATATAAAAGCTTTTCGGCATGTCAAGATTTGTAATGACATTTTCAGTATCTGAACACACCAAATTCTGACTCATATTAAGAAGCCTTGACACACCGACCAATATCTCAGAAGAAAAGGTGCTGGTTACAATCCAGAACACATAAAAACACCATGAACATTAGGATCATCCATCTAGTTTCCAACTAAAAGAACCCCCTAAGAACATTTCATAACATGTAAATTCATTCCGACGCACACATCCTAAGTTTGACCAAACAGCAAGTACATTAATCCTCTGCAACATTGGATTGGCCGGCACTGTATGGCCAGCACCCGGCTGTAGAACTAAGGTGATGCACAACACCAACGTCTGTAAATGACTGGGAAACCAGTGCTGCATGATCTTATAAGGACAGATCATTTTGACACGGGGTTAAGTATAGAGGACCAACCACAGCAAGTTTGGTACCATCACACTGTAAATTGCCCGTCTTGCTAGGTAATTCGAACAATAAGAACATTGTTCCTCGGATTACTCAGCAACCAAATGAAACATATATAAAGCTATAAGCTTGATGGGAAATAGCATCTAAATCTAACAGATTGTTCATCCCTCTAATACATTTTCCTCGAACCCGAAAAAAGCTAGTTGTAAAATACACTGAACTCATACTTGCACAAATAAAAAACTGTAATTAAATATTAAAAAATAATAATAATTAACAACACTCAGATGGATCTCTGCCAATTCTTATACCGTGTAAGTGATCAATTTCTCAGAAATCCACAATCTATTAGTACACAGATAACTAACAGCAATCACTTGCTCTCAATCAAACTTAATTAATACTAATCCACAAGAAATCAACAAATTAGGGTTTTTAATTTATTTAATTTCACAAATCAACCTGTTCCTCCTCAGTGTGCTTTTCTCCTCTGGGGCTGCCTCTCCTTCTCAGTAGCTAATCTGTATATCCAGTACACCTAACACGATGACAAATCAGATTTTAGGCACTAATTGAAGCGAAAAATCAGGAAGAGGAAGGAAATTAGCGAGTACCAGAGCGAGGACATGAGCTACTATTAGGAGAACCACCACGATCGGCACCAATTCGAGGAACCATGGCCGCAGAGACGCCGGCTGCGGAGTCTCCATTTGATGGGAACAATGAGGTTCTAGAGAGAGAAAGATGAGAGAGAGAGAGATGGAGAGATGAAGCACTGCAATCAGAGAGGGTTTTCGAGCTCGATGGTTTACTGAAGTTTACTAGAAGACAGGGGAGCGTGAGTGTTACTGGCAAATTGGGACGGAGCAGGCTTCGGGTCTTGTTGACCCGATTAAGTTTCCAAATAGGCCGGCTTAATATTGGGCCTTGTTATCGGCCTCAAAGCCCACGGTCTACATATCTATACAACTTACTAATAAAATCATCTTTGTCAACAAAAAATTAGTGAAAAAGACATTAGGCACAACACCGTGTCTTACTAGACGAGCCCCTCGAGACTCACACTTTAGTAAGGTATTGTCCGTTTTGGGAACTAACCCTCAAGGATTTACTCTTAAGACTATCTCCAAATGACAAGATTTTCTCTAGGGGAGATGCCATAATTAACATAGTATCTAAGTTATTTGACTCCTTACTTTTTAACAGTCTTTTTTTTTACGATAAACGAAGATGGAGTCAATTTTATTATTTAATGTCTGGGGGCCATAATTCATCAATAGGGTACAACTTTTATCTATTTTAAATAATTTTTTTCCTTAAACACGTAGTAATGGGAACCGATATATACAACAACAACAACAAAGCCTTTTCCCACTAAGTGGGGTCGGCTATATGAATCCTAGAACGCCATTGCGCTCGGTTTTGTGTCATGTCCTCCGTTAGATCCAAGTACTCTAAGTCTTTTCTTAGAGTCTCTTCCAAAGTTTTCCTAGGTCTTCCTCTACCCCTTCGGCCCTGAACCTCTGTCCCGTAGTCACATCATCGAACCGGAGCGTCAGTCGGCCTTCTTTGCACATGTCCAAATCACCGGAGCCGATTTTCTCTCATCTTTCCTACAATTTCGGCTACTCCTACTTTACCTCGGATATCCTCATTCCCAATCTTATCCTTTCTCGTGTGCCCACACATCCCACAAAGCATCCTCATCTCCGCTACACCCATTTTGTGTACGTGTTGATGCTTCACCGCCCAACATTCTGTGCCATACAACATCGCTGGCCTTATTGCCGTCCTATAAAATTTTCCCTTGAGCTTCAGTGGCCTACGACGGTCACACAACACGCCGGATGCACTCTTACACTTCATCCATCCAGCTCGTATTCTATGGTTGAGATCTCCATCTAATTCTCCGTTCTCTTGCAAGATAGATCCTAGGTAGCGAAAACGGTCGCTTTTTGTGATCTTCGCTAGATTGCTCCGGTCATTAGTGTGGATAAGTATATATAAATGGATAGAGATAGGAAAGCAAACACAAGATGTACGTGGTTCACCCAGATTGGCTACGTCCACGGAATAGAAGAGTTCTCATTAATTGTGAAGGGTTTACACAAGTACATAGGTTCAAGCTCTCCTTTAGTGAGTACAAGTGAATGATTTAGTACAAATGACATTAGGAAATATTGTGGGAGAATGATCTCGTAATCACGAAACTTCTAAGTATCGGAGTGTGGTGTCGTCTTGACTTGCCTTATCTGTCTCATAGGTAGATGTGGCATCTTCTCTGGAAGTACTCTTCCTCCATCCAGGGGTGGTATCTTTAACTGGTGGAGATGCACAAGGTAATGTATCAATTTCACTTGAAGCTTACTTGTAGTTTCAGGCTTGGTCAAGCGCGATACAAACCATGTAGTAGGAGTCCCCCAAGTCGCCGAGCTAGGGGGTCTGCTGAAAGAGGTGACAGACAAGGTAAGCAATCAGAGCTCCGACTGATTGTTCACCTTCTCCCCATCTTGCAGCAGCATGAAGGATAAAGAGAAGAAAAATGAGAAGAGATGATATGAGATACTTTTGCTTTTGAAGAAGTAACTTTCCACAGGCTTATTCTTGAACTGAGCTGGAGGGTTTTCTGGTTTCCTCCAGAGTATAAGGCCGACTGAAGAATTTGAGGGTCAAAACAAGTCCATCAAATCTAGAGTACGTTCCACCCTGCTGATATGGGATACTTTTGCTTTTGACAGAGTAATGGATGTATCGGCACGTGTGCTGTTACGCTTGTCTCCACATGCTTCCTTGTATCCTTCGCACTTGCCCTATCTGTTCCTCAAGCAGATGCGGAATCTTCCCTGGAAACATAAGATGTTGAAGATGAGTACTCGAGAGCAATGCCAGGTAAGTAATCAGGTAAGGGGTTCCAGGCAGTCAGTTCCTGGCTGGAAGCTTGATTCCAAGTGCTGACTGATTGCTCTCTTTCTCCTTGTCTTGCAGGTAAAAACAAGGCCAAAGGAAAAGACAGGGAAAAAGCATGATATGGGATACTCTTGCTTTTAACCCTGATGATATGAGATATTCTTGCTCTAGTATAGCTTGTTTGCAGAGGTATTATCGGGGGGAAAGAAAGCTGAATATTTCGAAAGGCTTCGTTGGGAGTGCCCTCTCAGATATGATGAAGGGTTGAGCATTTTTGCAGGTCTGCCTGTCCGTTGGGGATGGAGGTCGACATATATAGGAGTCTCCCTAACAACAAGTAGTAATGCTATTCCTTTACCCTGCTTGGTCATAGCACGGTAGTGGGAGCTGCCAGTTTCACATGTTTTAACTCTGTCAGAGCACTTTGAAAAAGTGGTCTGTGGTATCTGGCTCTCGAGATTCGGAGAACGATGCCTCTTCGATTTTTGAGAAAGCAATCATGCTGGGGGTCTGGCTCTCGAGATTCGGAGAGCAGTGTCTCTTCGATTTTTGAGGAAGTAATCATGTTGGGAGTCTGGCTCTCGAGATTCGGAGGGCGGTGCCTCTTCGATTTTGGAGCAAGCAATCCTTGGGAGTGTTGTCTCGAATGTGAGTAAAGGTTGGGCATGTTTGCTAGTCTACCTTGCCACGAAGCACAAAGGTTGACACACAGGGACTTTCCAATTATCCAGCAATGGTACTGTTCCTTTACCCTTGTGGGTAATAATATGGTAGCTAGACCTTCAAAATTTATGTGTCTAAACTTTGTTAGTGCTGTTTCTTTGCTATTCTTTTACCTTTCTTGGTCAGAGCGATGTAGTGGGAGCTGCAAGCTTCACGTGCTCAACTTTGGCAGAGAACTTTGGCAAAGTTATCTGTGGTACCCATGAGCTATTGTTGCGTGTGGGAAGTGGGTGATTGAACAGTAAGATTCATGTGCTTTCTACTTCACCAGAAGTCTTCGACAGAATGCCCATAATTTCTGCAAAGCTGAGTGTGCGTGTGACAGGTGCTGACAAGGCTAGAAAAGTAGGTGCCTCTTCGATTTCTGAGATCGGCCCTCGTGGTCTCTGAGCAGCCCAGCTTTTGAGAAAGCGAGCGCCTCTTCGATTGATTCGGAGAACGATGCCTCATCGATTTTTGAGAAAGCAATCATGCTGGGGGTCTGGCTCTCGAAGATTCGGGGAGCAGTGTCTCTTCGATTTTTGAGAAAGTAATCATGTTGGGAGTCTGGCTCTCGAGATTCGGAGGGCGGTGCCTCTTCGATTTTGGAGCAAGCAATCTTGTTGGGAGTGTTTTCTCGAATGTGAGTAAAGGTTGGGCATGTTTGCTAGTCTACCTTGCCACGAAGCACAGAGGTTGACACACAGGGACTTTCCAATTATCCAGCAATGGTACTGTTCCTTTACCCTCTCTTCGATTTTTAAGAAAGTAGTCATGTTGGGAGTCTGGCTCTCGAGATTCGGAGGACGGTGCCTCTTCGATTTTGGAGCAAGCAATCTTATTGGGAGTGTTTTCTCGAATGTGAGTAAAGGTTGGGCATGTTTGCTAGTCTACCTTGCCACGAAGCACAGAGGTTGACACACAGGGACTTTCCAATTATCCAGCAGTGGTACTGTTCCTTTACCCTTGTGGGTAATAATATGGTAGCTAGACCTTCAAAATTTATGGGTCTAAACTTTGTTAGTGCTGTTTCTTTGCTATTCTTTTACCCTTCTTGGTCAGAGCGATGTAGTGGGAGCTGCAAGCTTCACGTGCTCAACTTTGGCAGAGAACTTTGGCAAAGTTATCTGTGGTACCCATGAGCTATTGTTGCGTGTGGGAAGTGGGTGATTGAACAGTAAGATTCATGTGTTTTCTACTTCCCCAGAAGTCTTCGACAGAATGCCCATAATTTCCGCAAAGCTGAGTGTGCGTGTGACAGGTGCTGACAAGGCTGGAAAAGTAGGTGCCTCTTCGATTTCTGAGATCGGCCCTCGTGGTCTCTGGGAGCCCAGCTTTTGAGAAAGCGAGCGCCTCTTCGATTTCTGAGATCGGCCTTCGTGGTCTTTGAGCAGCCCAACTTTTGAGAAAAGCAAACGCCTCTTCGATTTCTGAGATCAACCCTCGTGATCTCTAAGCAGCCCAGCTTTTGAGAAAGCAAACGCCTCTTCGATTTCTGAGCAGGCGCCTCTTCGATTTCTGAAGCTCCGTCGAGTGCAGATTTTTATAGGGGCTGGCATTAAGTTCCAAAGCACACTTGAATCTCCACCAGTAGAAGCTTCCATTCTTGCACTTCTAAGATCTTGATTTGTCCGACCTCTTCTCTCTTCAACACCTTTGAAAATGTCTGGCCCCTCCGACCGTCGTTTTGACTTGAACCTTGTTGAAGAGGCAGCCCCGCCTTCTCCAGACAACATATGGCGCCCATCCTTCGTCTCCCCTACTGGTCCTCTTACCGTTGGGGATTCCGTGATGAAGAATGATATGACCGCTGCGGTGGTGGCCAGGAACCTTCTCACTCCCAAAGATAACAGACTACTTTCCAAACGGTCTGATGAGTTAGCTGTTAAGGATTCGCTGGCTCTCAGTGTTCAGTGTGCAGGTTCTGTGTGTCTAATATGGCCCAACGCCTATTTGCTCGAACCCGCCAAGTTGAATCATTGGCGGCTGAAGTGATGAGTCTCAAACAGGAGATTAGAGGGCTCAAGCATGAGAATAAACAGTTGCACCGGCTCGCACATGACTATGCTACAAACATGAAGAGGAAGCTTGACCAGATGAAGGAAACTGATGGTCAGGTTTTACTTGATCATCAGAGATTTGTGGGTTTGTTCCAAAGGCATTTATTGCCTTCGTCTTCTGGGGCTGTACCGCGTAATGAAGCTCCAAATGATCAACCTCTGATGCCTCCTCCTTCTAGGGTTCTGTCCAGTACTGAGGCTCCAAATGATCCCCCTCCGGTGCCTTCTCTTTCTGGGGCTCTCTACCGACTGCTGAGACTTCTCCTAAGCAACCTTTGTGAAGGCTCCCTCTTGTGTTGTTTATTTTGACTCATGTATATGTACATATTTTGTAGCTTATCGGGGATATCAATAAATAAGCTTTCCTTCATTTCAACGTATTGTGTTAAATACACCAAAGCCTTCTTCGCTAAGTTCTTTGAATTTTCTTTTGTTGAAGCTTGTATGTTGAAGCTTTCTGAGTGGAGCATGTAGGTTGAGGGTAGTGTTCCCTTAATTTCCCGAGTGAGGAAAACTTCTCGGTTGGAGACTTGGAAAATCCAAGTCACTGAGTGGGATCGGCTATATGAATCTTAGAACGCCATTGTGCTCGATCCTGTGTCATGTCCTTCGTTAGATCCAAGTACTCTAAGTCTTTTCTTAGAGTCTCTTCCAAAGTTTTCCTAGGTCTTCCTCTACCCCTTCGGCCCTGAACCTCTGTCCCATAGTCGCATCTTCTAATCGGAGCGTCAGTAGGCCTTCTTTGCACATGTCCAAACCACCGTAACCGATTTTCTCTCATCTTTCCTTCAATTTCGGCTACTCCTACTTTACCCCGGATATCCTCATTCCTAATCTTATCCTTTCTCGTGTGCCCACACATCCAACGAAGCATCCTCATCTCCGCTACACCCATTTTGTGTACGTGTTGATGTTTCACCGCCCAACATTCTGTGCCATACAGCATCGCCGGCCTTATTGCCGTCCTATAAAATTTTCCCTTGAGCTTCAGTGGCATACGGCGGTCACACAACACGCCGGATGCACTCTTCCACTTCATCCATCCAGCTTGTATTCTATGGTTGAGATCTCCATCTAATTCTCCGTTCTTTTGCAAGATAGATCCTAGGTAACGAAAACGGTCGCTCTTTGGTATTTCTTGATCTCCGATCCTCACCCCTAACTCGTTTTGGCCTCCATTTGCACTGAACTTGCACTCCATATATTCTGTCTTTGATCGGCTTAGGCGAAGACCTTTAGATTCCAACACTTCTCTCCAAAGGTTAAGCTTTGCATTTACCCCTTCCTGAGTTTCATCTATCAACACTATATCGTCTGCGAAAAGCATACACCAAGGAATATCATCTTGAATATGTCCTGTTAACTCATCCATTACCAACGCAAAAAGGTAAGGACTTAAGGATGAGCCTTGATGTAATCCTACAGTTATGGGAAAGCTTTCGGTTTGTCCTTCATGAGTTCTTACGGCAGTCTTTGCTCCTTCATACATATCCTTTATAGCTTGGATATATGCTACTCGTACTCCTTTCTTCTCTAAAATCCTCCAAAGAATGTCTCTTGGGACCCTATCATACGCTTTTTCCAAATCTATAAAGACCATGTGTAAATCCTTTTTCCCATCTCTATATCTTTCCATCAATCTTCGTAAGAGATAGATTGCCTCCATGGTTGAGCGCCCTGGCATGAACCCGAATTGGTTGTCCGAAACCCGTGTCTCTTGCCTCAATCTATGCTCAATGACTCTCTCCCAGAGCTTCATTGTATGACTCATTAGCTTAATACCCCTATAGTTCATGCAATTTTGTACGTCGCCCTTATTCTTGTAGATAGGCACCAAAGTGCTCGTTCGCCACTCATTTGGCATCTTCTTCGTTTTCAAAATCCTATTGAAAAGGTCAGTGAGCCATGTTATACCTGTCTCTCCCAAAACTTTCCACACTTCGATTGGTATATCGTCTGGGCCTATTGCTTTTTTATGCTTCATCTTCTTCAAAGCTACAACCACTTCTTCCTTCCGGATTCGACGATAAAAAGAGTAGTTTCTACACTCTTCTGAGTTACTCAACTCCCCTAAAGAAGCACTCATTTCATGTCCTTCATTGAAAAGATTATGAAAATAACCTCTCCATCTGTCTTTAACCGCGTTCTCTGTAGCAAGAACCTTTCCATCCTCATCCTTGATGCACCTCACTTGGTTTAGGTCCCTTGTCTTCTTTTCCCTTGCTCTAGCTAGTTTATAGATATCCAACTCTCCTTCTTTGGTATCTAGTCGTTTATACATATCGTCGTAAGCCGCTAACTTAGCTTCTCTGACAGCTTTCTTCGCCTCTTGCTTCGCTTTTCTATACCTTTCACCATTTTCATCGGTCCTCTCCTTGTATAAGGCTTTACAACATTCCTTCTTAGCCTTCACCTTTGTTTGTACCTCCTCATTCCACCACCAAGATTCCTTTTGGTGTGGGGCAAAGCCCTTGGACTCTCCTAATACCTCTTTTGCTACTTTTCGGATACAACTAGCCATGGAATCCCACATTTGGCTAGCTTCCCCCTCTCTATCTATCCCACACACATTGGGTGATTACCTTTCTTTTGAAAATGGCTTGTTTTTCTTCTTTTAGATTCCACCATCTAGTCCTTGGGCACTTCCAAGTCTTGTTCTTTTGTCTTACTCTTTTGATATGTACATCCATCACCAACAAGCGATGTTGATTAGCCACGCTCTCTCCTGGTATAACTTTGCAATCCTTACAAGTTATACGATCCCCTTTCCTCATTAGAAGAAAATCTATTTGTGTTTTTGACGACCCACTCTTGTAGGTGATCACATGTTCTTCTCTCTTCTTAAAGAAGGTGTTGGCTAAGAAGAGATCATATGCCATTGCAAAATCCAAGATAGCTTCCCCATCCTCGTTTCTCTCCCCCAAAACCATGGCCACCATGAAAACCTCCATAGTTGCCTGTCTCCCTGCCCACGTGTCCATTTAAATCTCCTCCTATAAATAACTTCTCCGTCTGAGCAATTCCTTGCACCAAGTCTCCAAGATCTTCCCAAAATTTCTCCTTCGAACTCGTATCCAACCCTACTTGAGGTGCGTACGCACTAATCACATTGATAAGTTCTTGTCCTATTACAATCTTGATTGCCATGATTCTATCTCCTACCCTCTTGACATCTACAACATCTTGTACCAAGGTCTTGTCCACGATGATGCCAACACCGTTTCTCGTTCTATTTGTGCCCGAATACCAAAGTTTAAACCCTGAGTTTTCTAGATCCTTTGCCTTACTACCAACCCACTTAGTTTCTTGTAGGCACATAATATTTATCCTTCTCCTCACCATAACTTCCACTACTTCCATAGATTTTCCCGTTAAGGTTCCTATATTCCACGTTCCTAAACGCATTTTGCTCTCTTGAACTCTACCCTTCTGTCCTAGCTTCTTCACCCTCCCCCGTCTAATAGGATCAAAGTACTTCTTTTGTGTGTCCCGGGTAAAGTTGATAGGAGCATATGCTCCCAAACAACTTTGAGTGGAGTCGTTCGAAAAGAAGTTTCTATGGCCCCCTTGCTCATTTAACACTGCATCCGGGTGCCGATGGAGATACAGCGACCCTTGCTCACTTATCACTGCGCTTGGGCCACACAGCGCGCCACTTACGGGTGACGCCCTAGCTTTAGCGCGATTTTGTTCTGGATTCATTTTCATAAGGATTCGACGTGATCATGGAGTGCCGGCTGTCGACTACCTGACGCCCTCCCCCTCCTCCTTTATCCGGGCTTGGGACCGGCCATGTAAGACATAGGCGGAGTTAATGGGAACCGATATATAATAAATTAATAATTAACACGTTCTTTAGAACAAAATAAATTTTGACATTAACTTCAAATTGCTACATCATCATTCAAATAAAATTTTGAGAATTCATATATTTAATATCTCCATTAGAGATGCTTTAAGCCCCTCGAGACTTTGAAATGCTTCGTGCTATGAGTATGTAAGTTTTACACGTATAAATCACTTAACCTTCCTTGACGCGGGCGATGTAAGATTTAAGTACACGTTATAACATTCTTGTATTGCATGTATTTATAAACGAGTTTTCCATTTATCACATGACCAAACATCATAGTTTAATAAAATTTCAAACATCATCATAATGCGTAAATTGATACGATTTCGGATGTAAACAAATTAAAAACCTCAAGTTTGGATACTCCCGAATCCAAATTAAAACCTTAAGGAACCAACTACAAGAAGAAAACGCAAAAGGAAAATTAATGAAAATGGTTTGAAAACTTTGAGTTTTAACGATAAATATAAAATAAAGAGTAAAATAAATAATACCAAAATTGACTTTTTAGTATAAAAATATGATTTTTCGTTAAAATAAACAGTAACTAAAGATTTTCGTTAAATTTCTTGCAAAAACAAAAACCCGTATAGGCCTGGTTAGGTGTCCGTAAGAGGTGTCGAGTTCACTGTCAAACGTGGCAGCTTTCTCGGTCTCCAAGCAATCTCTCTCTCTGGTTTCCGTTTCACTGGAGCAGTACCACAAACACTTGCGGTGCATCCTGCAAATCTATAAAATCTGTGATGGCTTCGTGAGCTTTTGCTCCACTGTATTTTCCCCGCCGATGAGGAATGTCTTTGCCGCGCTCAAGCGCCACCGCCATGTCACTCTGCTAACCCAAAGTAAGCACCGCTCGCACGATCGCTCCGTTTTCCCGCGTCTAGATTTTACTTATTGTCTGTTTGGTTCCTGCGAAAATGCGGGAAGAAAATCGCACTTGCCGTAATCCAATCCAATTTCTTATTTCCTAATTTCTCGATTTGTTTGGTTAATTATAACGAATTTGCTCACTTAGGTTACGTAATTGGATCAATAAGTTAGCTGTGATTGTTACATTCGTGGATTAAGCTATGAGTAATTCTATGTATTGGGTTTTTTGTGCAGCTTTACGCCATGACAGAAACGTGGAGACCGTAATACGAAAATGCATACCATTGGGTTACAATAACTATGTTGAAATTAGATGGAAGCAAGAAAAATTGTTTCCGCATCAATTGTTACAACGGAATTCGTAAGTTTACGAGTATTCTTTGTGTTGGGAATTCAAGGCATTTGTTTTGTGTTCTCTTGTTTGAATTCTGAAATGCTTCGTGTTCATCGGTTTATGCAGTATTTCCACCAGTGTGCATGGTGAAATGGCATCTGCAGAGTATGCAAAGTTGAGGAAGGAATCACTAGAGAGTGAATTCGGGCACGCTCTTGATGCAGGCTCCAAAAGTATTTCTGTTGTCTACCGTTTTGGTCCGTTTTTGGCATTGTATAGAGCTGCAATTATTTCATTTCATGTGGTGAAGCTCACAATCTGGCAATTCTTTGTCCATGACATAAAGAAACGCGCCGTCAAGGTAATCGACAGGATACATTTATTTATATATTTTACATGATATGGTGTTGCATGTGCTTTTACTTCTGCATTGATTTAGTGATGCTGGTGTGTAGTTAGATATACGTAATTCTCCTTTTATGATCCTAAAGTTAGATATATATCTGAAATGGTTAATGTGATCTTGCAGTTTCGTGAAACTCTAATTCGCTTGGGACCTTTCTACATCAAGGTAAGCCACTTTCTTTGTAATGAAATTTTCAAGATACCTTTTCTTTCCCCGATTGAGAGGTTAATATCTAATGAATGTAATCTTATGTCATTCGGTTTCTTTCTAATTGTGCAATGCAAGATGTACCTAGTTTATCCAATTATGTTTGAACTTTGAATTCACAGCTCGGGCAGGCTTTGAGCACCAGACCAGACATACTGCCAACTATATACTGCCAAGAGCTTGTTAAGTTACAGGTTACTAGCTTCTTTCTCACACAGGCACCTATGATAATGGTTATGTGATTGAATGTATTAGCTCTCGGTGTTATAGATCTCTTTACTTATTCATTATTATCGAACCCTTTCCTAACAGGATCAAATACCACCATTTCCAACACGTGTTGCAATTAAATCTATTGAATCTCAGCTAGGTGCCCCCATTTCAAAACTTTTTGCCGACATCAGCCCAGAGCCTATTGCAGCAGCATCCCTAGGGCAGGTCTATAAAGGTTAGAGAGCTCCATTTTAATGTCATGCTCTTTTTCTTAGTGGGAAATTTTTTTTCCTTTGATTTAGTGGCGTGTCTCCCATGGATGTTCAACAAAAGAAATACATGCTTGTGAGAATCATTCAGGAAATGTTTATTTTGTTTATTTTGTTGTTTCAAGTTTTGCAGCTCACTTGCACTCTGGGGAGCTGGTAGCAGTTAAAGTACAAAGGCCGGGTATGTCACTTGTATTGACCCTTGACGCCTTGTTGTTCAGTATGATTGGGGGACAGTTAAAGCGTTTTGCCAATGCCCGCAAAGATCTACTAGTGGCCGTGAATGAGATGGTGCGTTGTGGATTTCATCTCATGTAGAATGCATTTTATCGTTTCTCTATGTCTCCATTTTGTAGATGAAATTAAACTTCTGAATCTTATCTAATGCCTAAACATAGATTTGTGTGTGATTTCCCCCCGTCTCTACAGGTGAGGCATATGTTTGATGAAATTGATTACATCCAAGAGGCAAAGAATGCTGACCGTTTTGCCTCTCTCTATGGTTCAGACCCAAGTAAGTTTTTGTACGTTTGTAATGACTAACAAGTGCACTTTATTAAATACGGAAGTCATTCCACAATAGTTCTGCCTCTTATGTGAATCCCACCTTCATTATATATGATGATTTCCTCATACTCTCATGTAGGTTTTTTAACCTGTGTTAAATACATGCCATGTCAGCCCATTTTAAATTTTTAATAGCAATATCTTCATGTGTGCTTTGAAACGCTTATATTTTACTTATTTTGCCATGGATTTTTCTTTTCTTTCTAGAAAAGAGACATGGATAAAAATTAAATAAGTTCATTTGAATTTTCAGTTATGAGAATTAATTTAGGGAAATGATAAACACACACCTTTTATAGCTTCCTACACACCCCTGGCTAATCATGTCCGTTGTTTTCGTTTGATTTATTTAATCCGATGGCCTGGAACAAAGAGGGGTGTGGGAAAAGCTATAAAAGGTGTGTGAAAATCAGCTCCCTTAATTTATTCTATAAGTTGGTGCTTTAGCTCATTTTTTGGAGCTAGTATGCATGCCATAAAATTAGTGTGCTATGCCGGATGGACAAAATGTATTGGACTGGCTTTATGAAGAATTCATCATGCCCTGTGTTATGTTAATTCTCTACAAAGCGAGCTATTATATGAGTAGATTTTTTCTTTGTGATCGACAGGTGACGGGAAAAAGACCGGTCCAAAGCCTACAGCTGGAAAAAGTCTTAAACATAATGAGGCGAACTGTATAAAAGTTCCAAAAATATATTGGGATTTTACCCGTAGGGGTGTGCTTACAATGGAGTGGATTGATGGAATTAAGCTTACAGATGAAATTGGCCTAGAGAGGGCTGGTTTGAACAGAAAAGGATTAATTGACCAGGTATTTGGAAGGAATTGCTCAGCATCTAGTGCATTCGCACTTTTTAATTTATAGAAAGAAAAGATAAAGTGTAGGGCTACAGATTAGCAAAGATAGTTCGGTAATTGAATTCTGAACGGCTAATATGAAGTTTATAGATTCAAATACCATAGGAAAGTCTGATCAGATTTGGTTTAATAGTGCTTACTTAGGCAAAACTAACTAATTTTACTCTTGAAGTCTTCTACTCTAGGCTATAGCAAAACTGGAAAAATCTTAGCCCGCCCTTGCAGATGCTTCTATTAATGCCATCCAAACTCCTTAGAAAGTTGCATGTTAGACAGGTGAACTTTTGACTGTTTTGGAACCAACTATAGTCATATATTCGATAGTAATAACATAACATGAAACAAAATGAACTTCACTTATAAGTTAAAAGAAGGGAAGTGTTATTGGCACTCCAAAAATCTGATTCTACACTCCTCACAAGTGTATTTTTCTTTCCAAATATAGAAAGTTTGGAGTGTAGAATGAGATTTTTGAAATGCCGATAACGATTCCCTAAAAGAATATGATAAATGGTAATTAGAGGGTTGGTCCAATAGTTTATTGGGCCTGCTTGGGCTTACAAGTTGTCCTTATGTTAGTACTGCACGTAATTTGGCTGTGTTGTTAAAATATCTCATCCTTTTTATCTTTCCTTATAGGGATTATACTGCTCTTTGAGACAATTGCTTGAGGTGGGATTTTTCCATGCTGACCCACATCCGGGTAACCTTGTCGCTACTGATACTGGTGCTCTTGCATATTTTGATTTTGGAATGATGGGTGAAATTCCTCGACATTATCGTGTGGGACTTATTCAAGTGGTAAGAACCATCAAATAATTATCTTCTTGGGGCACAAGTCCAAAACATTCATGTGTGTAGCTTAAGGTTTTTTTTTTTTTTTTTTTTTCAACGTAGAATTTTTAAGCATGCATTTATGGCCTTTTGTTAGTATTAAGCTATTCATGGCCATTTTTCACCTCCATCGGATGCCTTGTACCGATGTTAACCAAACTATTGAATTGCATGGGAGGTTGGGAAGATGGGCTGAGTGGCAGCTACCTTTTGTTAAGCTAGCTTTGTTATCAACTTATGAACGTGGTCCAGTTTTCTTTACCCACCTCATTTCTTGAATTTTTTTGTGTTTAGATTGCAGTGATAGTTCTTGTTGACTCTAAAGGAATTATATAGCTTCATACATTGCTTTGTTATGCTTGGATTTTATGGTCTTTGATAGTTTTCAGATTACTGGTATGTATATATATTTTATCATCTTTGATGAGTTTCTTTGGACACCCAAAAACAACAGGAGTTTGTATGGTTGCCTCATGAGTAGTTTTTCGTTCTGGTAATCGTTTTTGTGCTTGTTCTTTTTTGTATGATGTTGCTAAATATTTTGGCAAATTGACTTATGGTTGTTTTATTTGATAAGTTTCTGTATCTTTCAGCTTGTGCATTTTGTTAATCGAGACTCCCTGGGTTTGGCAAATGACTTTCTTTCATTGGGATTCCTTCCTGAAGTGGTTGATATACAATTAGTTTCGGATGCATTGCAAGCATCCTTTAGCGACCGGACTAGACAGTCTCAAGATTTCCAGGTTTGTGCTTCCACTCCTTTTATCTATCCTATGAGCATACTTGGTAGTTATCTGTTCAAGTGTTTCATTATGGAAATCAGCATAAGGTTATTAAGACACCGCAATTTATGGAAGAATTAAGTATCTCCTTAGATCTAACCTTTGCAATGGATTCCAGGGAGTAATGGACCAACTCTACGATGTTATGTACGAATTTAACTTCTCTCTTCCTCCGGACTATGCCCTGGTAATAAGAGCACTGGGATCACTAGAAGGCACAGCCAAGGTCCTTGATCCTAATTTTAAAGTTATTGAGAGCTCATATCCTTTTGTGATTGGAAGACTTCTGGCTGACCCAAATCCTGATATGAGAAGAATTTTAAGACAACTTCTTATACGCAACGATGGATCGATAAGGTGGAATAGGCTAGAACGCCTGGTAGGTTGCCTAAAGCATACTTGTATTTGTGATAACAACTTATTATTCCGTTTACTACAATATTAATTAGTCAAGTATTTGCATTTCTTTCTACTTTCAATTTGTTAACCAGGATCTATATGTTGTTCCAGATTGCAGCAATATCTGAACAGGCTTCTGAGAGTGCTGAGGAGTCCCCAAATTCTGCGGGCGGTACTCCAAATCCGTTGAGAAGTAAATCATTTGACATGCATTCAGTTGTTGCCGCCACTGAAGATCTTTTCCACTTCATTCTCTCTAAGAAGGGTGAGAGGGTGCGTGTATTCCTTGTTCGGGATATACTTGCTGCAGCTGATGCTTTTCTTGAGGATGAAGTTGTTGGTCGTATGTTCAATGAGAAGCCCGAATCCAGAGGCTCAGTTGAGTCAGAGGTTGGTATATAAATTTCACTTTTACTCTGCCATAGCAGACGAAAAAATAACAAGCAAGTGGATCCGGAAACATGCAGTATTATCTTGTATAGTGAGATTGCTTATCCAATGTACTTTTGTTTCTGCAGGCACACACCATGGTCATGAGGGTTGTAAATGGGTTTCAGTATCTCCGTCAAGCTATAAAGTTGGCCCCGGAGGTGTGGACGGAAATGCTTATACGCATGGCAGTTACGCCCGAGGTTCATAAGTTTACATTAGACATCGTTTCGTCGCTAATCATTCATTTTAACGGCAAAATTCCAGAAACTACGTTTGTTTGTATGTCTAGACTTATGCACAAGATGGAAAAAAACCGCAGCTCTTCCGATTTTTGAGATTAGGTATGGTAGTCTTATTCAAGTTTCGTCGAATTTTATTCTTTCCTGTTTCGTTACAGTTCCGAAATTGTATATACTGTAAGGAGTACTTCACACTCGAAATGAAAAGCGAAATAGTTACCGAGCGGTAAATTTTGTTAGTGAGATCGATTATTTTGCTTTAAGCTTTATTTTTCGAGCAGTAACCTCGAAGCCACTTTTCTCTCTTTTCTTCTAGTCTATGCGATCTTTTCTGACCCTAGAGAACCCGAAGAAGCTGTTTCAACGACCACGACCGACCGTGGCCGCACGTACCGGGCAACCGGCCGTAGCCTCAGCGTCGTGCCCTTGTCGCAAGGGAACCAAGGAGAACCAGAAAAGATTAGAAGATTTTATAGCGCTCGTTTGTTGAGATTTGAGAATGACCTGCCCATCGTCAAATACAATTTCTTTTCATGACTGATGTGAGGGAACGTGAATTATCGTTTTGCATTGACAAAGTCTCCGAAAAATACGATAACGATCTTTCTAGGGACAGTCGGCCCATGCGCGTGTCGGAAACTCCCCATCACCGCTGGTGGGCAACTCTTCGTCATTGCCAGTGTGCGGCTCTCAGCTGTTGATCCATATTGAGCGGCTTTAACCTGTTAATACGTGTCGAGCCACCATTGCTCTTAGGGTAAAAAGAACTACTTTACAAGAGTGAAAGTAGTTTGAATGTTTCATATACTATGAAGTTCTAAGTAGGCTTTTTAGCCAAAATGATCATTGAAATTTGCATAACTCATCATTTTGATTCCTGAGATTCGAAATCAATAGAAGTGGTCCTGAGTTTGTCCATCATCAATCATTTTGGTCATTCCTTGAAAAATTAAGGATCAAATGACAAAAATACCCTCAATTTAATAAACAATTGGCCAAAATGATTTGACAAAAATTGAGGATATTTTTGTCATTATATCTTTATTTAATGAAGATTTTTCGAGAAATGACCAAAATAATTGATGGTGGACAAACTCATAAACCACTTCTATTGATTTCAAATCTCAATGACTAAATTAAAGAGTTATGTAAATCTCAAATATCATTTTAGCTGAAGAACTTTCTAAATATATCATAGCATAGGAGAATTTCCGTGGAGAGAGAAACCCGCTAGTTTCTGTCGGTGAATTCAATGTCTCACGCCCTTGGAGCATGATACAAATGTTATATAGCATCTCATTCTTGTCCTCGTTCATTTGGGATCTTTCGGATTTTATGGACAGGTAATCCATGTAGTTGGAAAGGTGATCTTCCAATCTTTTTTAGGAGTGTGATATTCACACACTTCTTTTTACTTCTTCCACACCATTTTAGTTTTCGGCTGTCGGATGGAATGAATTGAATAAGATCAACGGACATAAATTAACAAGGGGTGTATGAGAAGTAAAAAGAGATGTGTGGATAGCACAACCCTCTTTTTTAATACAATGCCAATAAAAAGTAACCCATCCAATCGTATTTAACATCCAGAAAACTGCCAAATAAAATGTGTTCCAAGCCGAAATATCACAAGTCCTACCTCCCGGACCATCGCAAGGAAAACTATAAGTTTTATTAGTAACATGTACATGATTAAGGTGTTTTTAATGTTTCTTTTTGGTCGGCTGGTGTTTTTAATATTTATAAAGATCCAATGTGGGGTTTTTGCTTTAAAAATTAGAGCAGGTTACAATTAAGAAAAATAATTAAATTTAGAAAATCAGTTGGTATTTTTCTTGGTGTAAAAATCTCTAACCTACTTCTACTCATCATCTTACGCACTCACTGCTAATTTGGTAATTTTCTTTTCGTAAAGATTTTGAGAAGATGTATTTCGTTCTTTTAATTAAGAATTTTTGGTCTAAATAGTTCTTAAGATTGTCATAACTCTGCACTTTGGTCTCTGACAATAAAAATTGATAGAACTAGTCCTTAAGTTTGTCCACCATAAACTATTTTTTCCTTCCGTGAAAAATTTGTCAATATTCTCGTTAAGTAGAGGGCTTAGTTTGACAAAAATACCCTTAAAAGGAGAGCCACATGGTCGTTCACGTAACAATTTAACGTAGATATTGAAAGATTTTTCATGGAAAGACCTTAATAATTTATAGTGGATGGACCACTTCTACCATTTTTTATTATCAGAACCCAAAATAAGAAGTTATGACAATCTCATTGACCATTTTGGATAAAAATTCATTAATCATAAATGAAATTTTTTTTCCATCTTTCAATATTTGGTTTAACTCCTCAAATTCTCATAAAAGAATTCAAAAGAAAATTGGCACATTTGATTTGTGGCCACAGAGAGGCTGAAATGCTTATGTGAGTCTTCCAGGCCTCCAGAAGGGGTGGATAACTGTGGCTTGCCAACCCCCTTTTTTTAAAAAAAAAAAATTCAAAAGAAAATTGGCTCATATGATTTGTTTAGATACTTACTACTTAGACTAGCTAAAACTATTAGTATAATTACCTTCAATTTTAAGATTTTAAGCATATAATATTAACTTAATTAAATTAGTGTTGGTTGTTTTATGCATGTGTTAATTGAGGTTTGACTTGGATGGCAAATTTTGGACTTTTAGTGTCTCATCCCGGCCCGGGCCCCCACCGCATTCAGGGTTCGACTCCGCTGTAGCACGATATTGTTCGTTTTGGGCCCCGACCACGCCCTTACGGTTTTGTTTCTGGAAACTCAAACGAGAACTTCTCAATGGGTCACCCATCCTGGGACTCCTCTCGAGCGAACTCACTTAATTTCGAAGTTTCGATGGAACCCAAAGCCAATGAGCTCCCAAAATGTCTCGTGCTAAGTAGAGATGAAAATATACATATAAGGCTTACATGATCCACTCCCCTAGGTGATGTGGGATGTTACATTTAGAGAGAGGGAGAGCTTAAACTTTCTTGTTCTGTTTTCTTTGTTCTAATTTGTTTCTTTTTCCTATTTAATTTCTATCTGATTTGGTGGATTCATGGTTGATTATGTTTTGTGATTACTAATTTGCCTTATTTTTCCTTGTAAATTGGTTTATAAAATAAATATAGAACAACCATAAGGGGTTTTCAACCAAGATGTTATCCGAGATGTTCTCAACCAAGATATGTTATCTTATTGAGTTTATGCAATAAAGCTATCGTATTCATTTCAAAAGTAAGGGGTTTTCACCAATGCGGGATAAATTTTGCAAAATAGTTAACGTGAATAGAAAGTTTCATGCATGTTAAATTATGCAGTAAATATAAGAGAAAAAGTTGTATCGAATGTCACATCCCGGCCCGGGGCGGATCACTTCCCGGGCCCGCTCCACCACCGTAGCACGATATTGTCCGCTTTAGACATCGACTACGCCATCACGGTTTTGTTTCTGAGAACTTCCCAGTGGGTCACCCATCATGGGATTGCTCTCGCACGCCCTCACGGTTTTGTTTCTGAGAACTTCCCAGTGGGTCACCCATCATGGGATTGCTCTCGCGCGCTACTCGCTTAACTTCGGAGTTCCTACGGAATCTGAAGTTAGTGAGCTCCCAAAAGGCCTCGTGCTAGGTAGGGATGAGAATATACATTTAAGGATCACTCCCCTGGGCGATGTGGGATCTTACAATCCACCCCCCTTACGGGCCCGACGTCCCCGCCAACACACCACGGCCAAGGTCAAGCTCTGATACCAATCGTCACATCCCGGCCCGAGGTCCACCACATCCCGGGCCCGTTCCACCACCGTAGCACGATATTGTCCGCTTTGGGCCTCGACTACGCCCTCACGGTTTTGTTTCTGGGAACTCACACGAGGGCTTCCCAGTAGGTCACCCATCATGGGATTGCTCTCGTGTGCTACTCGTTTAACTTCAAAGTTCCGATGGAATTTGAAACCAGTAAGCTCCCAAAAGGCCTCGTGCTAGATAGGGATGAGAATATACATTTAAGGATCACTCCGCTGGGCGATGTGGGATCTTACATCGAAACACTTTCCAGATCAAGTCATTCGTAAAATATTTTCCACTAAAACATGAGACCTATATGTATTTTAGTCGTCAATCAAGTATCACCGCGCATTAGGCGGGAGACGGAAGAAATATTTGACTGAATTCCTTTCTATATAGCAAAATTCCTCTTTGGGATATTCGAAAGGTAAAACCTAGGCAACGAAAAAGGGGCGCGTTACTTCAATTAGAGGAGCGACCAATCAAGTCACCAAATTGTCACATCCTGGCCCGAGCTTCCACCATATCTCATGTTCGACTCCACCGTAGCACGATATTGTCCATTTTAGGCCCCGACCACACCCTCACGATTTTGTTTTTAGGAACTCACACGAGAACTTCCCAGTGGTCACCCGTCATGGGATTACTGTCGCGCGAACTCACTTAACTTCGGAGTTCCGATAGAACCCGAAGCCAGTGAGCTCCCAAAAAGCATCATGCTAGGTAGAGATGAGAGTATACATATAAGGCTTATAGGATCTACTCCCCTAGACAATGTAGGATGTTACAACCAAACCTAGACTCAGTGTTGCACGTTTTCTAGGTCTGAAGGAATCCAGTGCCCAACTGCTGACTCCTCTCATTAGTATTACTCTACTCACACTTATTTCACCGTATATAAAAATTGTCCTAGTAAGACAACATTCTCGAAATTTCTCTCTTACACATAAAATGTAATAATTTGATTCGCCAAAAATAAGTCAACTTTTACTGATGCAAATAACAGAAAACCCTAATTTCCAAAAAAAAAAAAAAAAAAAAAACCCTAAAGCCACTCCAACAAGCAACCAAAAATTCACTAAAATTCAAAAGAAAATGACTTAAAATGAAAGTCATAACATTTGCATTTGCATTCCTATTTATATTCATTTCATTTTTTGTATTACATTTGACTCTTTCTCAAGCCTCCACGTGAAAGCTCGCTTCATGCAGGAGGCGACTCGTATGACCTGTTCCACTTTTTCGGACGAACCCAACAAACAAAACTAACTGAGACTTCCTTCGAGTTAAAAACTGGAGATATTGGATTTAAAATCCGTTGTTATTGTGGAAGTTCGATTTGTGGTCAGGAAGATGTTGAAATATCTTTATGAGTCTTCCCGGCATCAAAAAAAGATAGATAATCGTGATTTGTTACCAGTTGTCCCCTTTAAAAAAAT